AGCCGCTCCGCAGCATGTGGGATCTTCCCGGATCGGGGCACGAACCCGTGTCCCTTGCATCGGCAGGGGGGGCCCTCCCCCCCCCCCCCCCCCCGATGGCCCCTTCTCTCCCTAATGGACTCGGTTTGGCTCCTGGTCTGGACTTGGGGGTAGTTCAGAGCAAGCCCAGAGCTCTTCTCATCCCCGGCCCATTGCGTCTTCAAACCCTGTCCTTTGCCTCTCCTGCATCCCTTTCCTGGTCCAGCGGCGGACGGGTATCAGTCCCTTGCTTGGCCTATGGGGGGCCTTCGCTGGTTCCTTTCTCCTTTGAGCGTTTGTTTATGATGCTTTGAAAGTGTCGTAGCTGCAGGGAAACCCAGCAGGTGCGGCGAGATCTATTTGAGAGGTGAACAGAGAAGTGATGTTTCCTGTTACAGAGACTCTACGTCTACTATTGCAGCCTAGGAACTATGTGCAGCCCACTCCCAAAAATTACATTCCCGACGTGTTACTGAATTGGCAGTAACTAAGCTCTCAAGGTTTTGGTTTCTACTCCTTGCTAAGCACCCATTTTTTTCTTGAGTACATATGTGGTTGACTTTGGCATCGGGGTCGAGAGTCTAGAATCTGAGCTAATCCATCTCCATTCCACGAGTCTGTCAGCACTTTGGGGCTCACGCCGTCCTCTGATGCAGTCTTGCTGTGTTCCCCCGAGGGGTGTCGTCTGCGAGTGAAGATTGCAGCCTCCCCACGCGGGCTGTGGGTGACACGTATCACGGTAGGAAGGCAGAAACATGCAGAAGGGAATCTTGTAAAAGAAGAGGCACTCACCTGTCGTGGACACGACATCCTTGTGGTGCTGGAGGTGTGATCCTGTGAGTCTCAAGGGAGGTATTGTCTTGAGCCAGAGAACCGTGCTCTTGGGCGATGCCTCTGAGACATCAAGGTTTTATGAGGTTAAGAGAGAGAATTCTCAGAGAGCTTTTCCCCACCTGTGTTGTGACCAAATGATGTTTGTGTAGAAATGAATAGTCTGGAAACTCTGCCAAAAGAGAAAAGATGTTACATGGAAACGATCATCGTCACTTCCCTTAGGGGCTCGAAGCCTAATCCTTTAAGGATAAAAAAAAGCTCCATTTCCTGTGATCATTCTGCTGTGTAGATCCCAAGTCTGGAAACAGGTATGAATGTAACGTGAGTGGTTCGTTGATAGAACGGTCATGAAATAGTAAATTATCTGTGTTTCCCAGAATTTGTGTCCAGCCTGTAGCAGAGGATGATTTGGATTTTAGAATTTAAAAAATCGAAAATAAAAGAACAGGATAATTCTGGATAGGATAACATATAAGGTTTTTCTTGTTGAGACTTTAAAAAAATCTTGTATGCCCAAGACATATTAATAGGATGATGCCAGAAGATTTGTACTTTCTTTGTGTGAATGTTGGTAGAATCTTTGCAGGATCCTTCAGTTTCCTTCCTCCCCTGGCGGGGGCAGCGTAAGAACTTGAGTGCATGTTGGCAGGGCTTCGGAGGAGAGCCTGCAGGTGCCCCCGAAGACTCTTCCTTTCCTTTTTGAGCCCACTTTCTATACACAACTTTGCCTTTGAGGTCAGAGTGTCAGAGCTGTGTGCTCACCAGGTAGCCTTCAATTCAAATGAAGTTTGTAACCTTTCTCACTAGCTCAGAATCTTGAACTAGCTTTGGGGCATAATATTATGGACCATAAAGGGCAAAAGGGTCTTTTCTTTAAAAAGTAGGGAGAAAATGATATGATAGAATGCACGGGAAGACAATGTGTGTGTGTCTGTGTGCACGTGTGTGTGTGCGCATGTGTGCCGATGCATACTTAATTCAAGGAAATCGGAATGGGTCGGTCAGTGGGTACGAGGGCTGTGCTTTTTCTGCTGCTAGTTTGGATGGGAATTACTTAGGAAAAAAAAAAGTATGATAATGGCTTAGTTTTGCATGTTGTGACCATTAGATGCAGAGGCCACATGGGGGAGTCGTCGTCATCGGTGGGTGTCCTGGAGGCATCCTTAGGACCTGCATTTAGATGCAGCCCCATTATTCTTGGGAAAATCCAGGCAACCACAGCTGCTGTCAGAGAGGGTCTTCTTAGGAGCCCAGCTGGACGGTGCTCGCAGTGAAAAGGAGGGAGCAAGAAAAGCGAGGATAAAGTTGAGATTTTCCTGGACCAGAATCAGAGGAGGGAGGGACCGCCCTGAATGGCTGAGTATGTTAGCTGTTGATAGAAGCCGTCTTCACGCTGGCTGCCTGTGGTCAGAAGAACTGGGGTGTCCGGCGCACTCAGCCCCGGCCCCCCTCTTGGGCCCCATCGGTCAGTCATCCAGGGACGCCCTCCTCAGCTTTTCCTCCCCCCAACTCGGCCTGGTCAGAACTCCAGGAAAGAGGAGGCAGGTGGTCTCAGCACGTGCGCCCGCGGCTCCTGGGGTCGCGTGGCCAGGTGACACTTCCCGTGTTTTACCGGGAACCTGACACCCTGATCTTTTACTAATGACAGGGCACGAGTGAGTTAAAATGTGTCTTTTCATTCTCCTCACATCCCTGAAGGAGGCGGTGACGAAGCTGAGAACTTTGTGGGCAAATTCTCTTTCTCGGAGACTCACATTCATGACTTGTCCAACGAGAAATCCACCATCTGCCCTACAGTTTGTGCATTTCTTTGACTATTATCTCCATAAACATTACCTGTAATGTAGAAACAATTTCATATTATTTTTATGTGTTGTGGCTTCTGAATTAGGACAAGAGAATGATTTGGTTTCAGCTGTTTTGGCTAAGACCCTTGGTCGTCCTTTCACTCACCTTTTACATTCAAATGTCACACTTCAGGTGTATAAATACTCAGCTCAGGGAGCGTCATTTAAAAAAATTTGTGGTTATAGGCGTAACTTTTTCTAGTTAGTATTTTTGTTTTCCCATTGAGTTGAGCTACCATTGAGCCTGATGGGGAAGGTTAGGCTCAGGGAAGTCATTTCAGAGCTACCGTTACATGAAAAATTAGGCTTTTCTTCAGAGAGATGCCCTCATCCAGAAAAGGCAGACAGACAAGTATGCGTCTTCTGCGTCCCTTTTCTAGCAAAAGCCGGACATCTTTTAGGGTCAGGAGGGAACAGGAGGTCGGCGCTCTAAGACCGGCCTCCTTCCTAGGTGTCCCGTCTGTGCTCTGCCCAGGATGCGCAGGACACACAGGTAACGGGCCGGCACGGGGGGTAGGTGGGGATGGCGCAGCTCCTGGGCGTGTGGCCCAGCATCGCCTTGGGGGCAGGGCCCAGCCCTGCTTTCCTGGCCCCTCACTTGGTCTGGCTGCATCACTCCATCGGCCGGATGCGGGCCACCAGCTGCCCGGGTCCCACACACCTGAGGGCGCGTCATGGGAGTTGAATTTAATCCTCTCTAATCTGTGCTCCCCCTCGGTCCTGCGTGTGTGGGCTTTCCGGGGGCCTGGAGGTGCCTGCCATCAGGACACAGCGGAGGGGCTGACGATGTTTTCCTCTCGCCCCCTTCCTCCCTTCCCCGCCCCTGCACCGCTGCCCAGGGACACTCCGGACGCCGGCCCACCAGGGAGACTTGGTCTGCGTGGAGTGTGGAAAGTGCTTCCACCAGTCTAGCCATCTCCGGGCCCACACGCGGGCTCACACAGGTACCTGCCCGGGGGGCCCCGGGGGGGGCAGTCTCTGTTTTCCACAGTCGGTGAGAGGTCTTAGATTTCGCCCGGGTGAGGTGAGGGGTCAGGCCTTCTCTCCTGGGATTACACTCTAGGCTGTCCCATCCGGCACCTGCACCTGAAATGATTTTTCCTTTGCATCCAAGTGCCGTGTGCTTTAATCTGAGATAAGCCTGTCTTGCAAATGCTCCACTTTAAATAGAGTGGACTTCTCAGAAGTGCACGGGGTAATGAGTTATGCTGCCACCAGGACGCCCTGAAACCCAAGTCCCCCATCGGCATGACACCTGGCTGCCTGCTTTCCTCCTCGGCACCAGCTGGCCTCTGTGGACCGGTGGGTGCTGAGTGGCAGAATTCCTCAGCCTGTTTGTCAAGAGCTTGCCTGAGATGGAATCGGGGGAAGCAGTGTGTGTGTGGTGGGAACACCACACAGCCAGGGTGAGGCGGGGCCGGGGGTGCTTTATCCCAAGCGTGAAGGATGCATCCGTACCCGGGTCGGGTCTGATGCAAAGTGACAGGGGCCAAACGGTAAGTGATGCAGAAGGAGGGGCCCTCTGCATGCGCCCGGCTAATTAATGTTGTCACTGATGGGTCTCTTTGGCGACGAAGCCTGAATTAAAAAGGGCATCGGCCCCAGGCAGCGTTTTCAGTTTCTTACAGTAAGTGTTATGGTAAACTGGTATTTTCCGGCCACAGGCTGGGTGCTGGGTCTTTTTTTCGTTGTTTTTTTTTTTTGCGCAAGTGCTTAACCTGTAAGGGACGCGTGTCGCGGGGCGTCGGGAAGCTAGTGTCCCCCTGCTAACGCACATACTTGCTCTCACAGTGCTGTTTGAGTCTAACGGCCTCCGAGGTGCTGAAGCCCACGCCACCTCCGCAGATGCCCCCAAACAAGTAGGTCTCCCGACTCACGGGTGTGTGGGTTTTCATGTCGTAGCTGGGAAAAGGGGGTGTCACAATGGTCGTCACAAGGGTACCACGTGGTGTTTTACCAGATGTGTAAGTAGCTTTTCGTTGCTGTGAATCAGAGCCCAGTCCTGCGGGACAGTCTGTGAGTGCCTGATAATCACTGAAGGTGGCTCAGGCCGTGAACGACACGGTCGGGGTCGATGCAGCTGCGTTGGGTCTTGTTGGGGGTGACGGAATTGGTAGAGACCACTGGTGACGGAAAACACCAGAAAGTCATACTTTCCCACTCAAGATGTTTTGCTTGGAGGTTAGCTTGAGAACAAGTTAGGCTTTGTCTCTTGTCTTCAGAACCGTATATATATATATATATATATAAATTTTTTTTGCGGTACGCGGGCTGTGGCCTCTCCCATTGCGGAGCACAGGCTCCGGACGCGCAGGCTCAGCGGCCATGGCTCACGGGCCCAGCCGCTCCACGGCATGTGAGATCTTCCCGGACCGGGGCACGAACCCGTGTCCCCTGCATCGGCAGGCGGACTCTCAACCACTGCGCCACCAGGGAAGCCCTTCAGAACCGTATTTTAAAAAAATTTTATTGGAGTAGAGTTGATTTACAACGTTGTGTTAGTTTCAGGTGTACAGCAGAGTGAATCAGTTATACATATACGTAGATCCACTCTTTGTTTAGATTCTTTTCCCATGTAGGCCATTACAGAGTTTTGAGTGGAGTTCCCTGTGCTGTGCAGTAGGTTCTCATTCGTTGTCTGTTTTACATCTAGTAGTGTGTATATGTCAGTTCCAGTCTCCCAGTTTGTCCCTCCCCCCTCCCTCCCCTTGGTGTCCGTAAGTTGGTTCTCTACATCTGTGACTCTATTACCACTTTGCAGATAAGTTCATCTCTACCATTTTTCTAGATTCCACATATAAGCGACATTATACGATTAATATTTATCTTTCTCTGTCTGACTTACTTCACTCTGTATGACAGTCTCTAGGTCCACCCATGTCGCTGCACATGGCATTATTTCAGAACCGTATTTTTGAATCACTCCATAAGAAGCGTTCTGCTGAGTTTGGTGTCTCAGGGCCTCATCTTTGTCCTGATTTGATTCTCTGTCTAACGCACACCACCGGCTCGGCCATAATGCGTAAGATACCCGTATGCGTGTACATAGAACGTGGGTCACCGTAGATGTGTGGCCTTAGTGCGGTCAATCTACAAAAGGTGGCCAGCTCCTGCGCATGAGTGACTGTGGGATGCGGTCTGTAGCTCTGAAGTAAGGGGGTACATGCCGTCCTAAATGGTCTGTCCCGTCATCCTGGGCTAAGAGCGTGTGGTTTCAGAGCTTTTCTTCCTCTCTGCCCCTGACAGGATGTCACACCCGTCCTCATTCTCCCACAAGCATTTTCTCCATAACCTTCTTGCTTTCTGATTGGTGGCCGTAGAAGGTTCTGTAACTGCAACCTCTCCCCCTTGTAAATGAAGAGGGGAAAGTTTCCTTGCTGCCAGAATAAACATCCAGGATGCGGTCCAGGTGGTCAGATCCAATTAGCACACCCTGCCTGGACACGTGTGGGATTCACGGTCGTTGACAATGATGACGGTGACATAAATGTCAGAAGAACCTCCAGAAATTCCAGTCCATTTCTCTAGAAGAGAATAGTGAGCGATAAAAACACTGCCCAGAGCCTGCTGCTAATTAACGGTTGAGAGCTGGCCTTAGGATGGACGGTACCTGATCAGAGGCTTTGGTTTTGTTTTTTATCGAACTTTCAGAATCCCTGTTTTTTGTTAAAAGCCTTTTCTTCATATGTCATGGACAGAATGCCTTTCCCTTTGTTATAGTTTTTTAGTAAGTGACTTCTCTCTTAATAAAACCCATAGTTTTAGAACGACAGCTGTTATTTCACAATGCTGTGACAATTGATGAAAACAATAACATCTCACTGAACGCAGAATTAAAAGATTTCTGGACACATGTGACCTCAGCTCGGATTAGGCAACACTCTCCTTTTAAACAGAAGTAAAAGCCCCTTTCGACAAGGCGCACACTGTGATGTGTCTGTGGGTTGTAGTAGCGGCAAGGTCGTGCCGTAATTGGAGAATTACATACTGACAGTACAAGTGAAGTCAGTCCAGAGCATTCCTGCAGACACAGCGGCCCATTCAATCCACCTAAGATTTGGCTTTTCCAGAAGAGTGTTTGACGGGGCCAGGAAGCACCAGGCAGGTCTCTGAATAACATAGTGAGATTCTTCAGGAACACACATCAGTTTATCTGGTGCACATGGATTCTACCTAAGCCTCTTTAAAAGGCTTCTGGTACAGGGAGAAATAGATCAACAAAGCAAATCACTAAGACTGTATTTTAAATTAGTTCTTTGTTACTTATAGTTATGCTGGGAATTCATCACAGTTGTTACCCATTCTTGGTGATGAAAGAGAAAAGATGTATCTATATTTTCGTCTTTGTCTCTGTAAACCCAGGTTCCGCAGTTTTGTACTTATTACCAGCCCACCTCTTAGTTTCACGTGTACAGTGACTCAATACTGTGGTCTTAGGAACTAAGACCACAGGAACAGGAGCTCCTGTTGCAAGGCCTCTGAGGGTCAGCTGTCCTGCTTTTCAGTCTCCTGAGTGTGGTTGTCAGGTCCGTGACACCAAAACTGAGCTGGATTTATACACCTCTCGTGCTGGCATATTCGAGATATGGCCTCTGGAAGTACTTTTTGTCCTCTGTTACGTTAAAAGGAGCTTTTGTTGATTAATCACTGAACATTTTGATTCTTGAAGGAAATTCTGTTTTCTTTAACGTACTTTGGAATTTAAGAATTCTCATAGAGATGTGTCTGCCAGGATAAGTGAAAAACACAGCAGTAGTAGTTATCGCCTTATATCTTACTGTTCTCTCTTATTCTGGAGTTCTCATTGTTTACAAAAATCACAACTGCTGTCTTAGATTTAGAATACGATCTAGATCCATAGGACAATTCTGTGGTTATTTATGTCTAGAACGGGACTCATTATACTTATGAGCCATGTTCTTTTTTCATGTTTAGTGTGCTTTACAAACATTAACTAATTAATATTTAAATCATTCTTTTCCTGTGGGCTTTAGAAGCTGTGGATCAGGGGAGTTTTTAAAATCACACAACACTGTATTCACGCATAAATTACTTGATGTAACACTAACAGTTGATGGACTTTCATAGATATACATAATAGATGTTAAATTATCTAACTGAAACAGTATTTGGGAATTCAGTTTTACAATAATCATTTATTCACTCATTAACAGTATTTATTGCGCACCTCCTGTGTGCCAGGCTCTGTCATATTGGTGGAGATAACGAGGATGTTGGGAGACAAGGTAAATACTTTTCCTGCTTTCATGGTTCCTGAGGTCCAGTGGGTGGTTTAGATAAGAAAACAGGGCAGAGAGGTGCAGCGCTGTGATAGGGTGAGCGTCCTGGAACCAGGCTTGGGGCGTCGAGAAGACTGTGCCAGGGTGCGGGTAGCCGGCAGATGCCCTCGCCGATACCCTCCCGACCCCAACCCCGGAGGTGGAAGAGATGTCTCGTTGGAGGAATCGTATGGGGGGAGAGCTGGGCGGGTGGCCAGGCGCTCAGGACATGAGCCTGGGGAGACACACCGCCGTTGGGTACCAGTGCTGAGATGTGGGAATTCCATCCCGAGGGCAGTGGGGACCCTGAGCTGGGGATGACGTCACTAGTGTTGTGTCTGTAGGAGAGTCGGGTTGGTCTGGGTCGGGGATGGATTGCGGAGGTTCCGGACAGTGAGCTGAGCCCCGCTCTGGAGGTGCTTGGGGTCATCCCAGCGAGACCCAGAGGCGGCCCGAGCTGGGGTGGGGCTGCAGAGAGCAGATGGGTGTGGGGATGTTTGGCGGCAGGAAGATCTTGGGGGTTGGATGCAGGATGGGAGGGAGGGGAAGGGGATGGAGTGGACCCGGGTGCTGGCTTCAGGCTCCAGCTCTCGGGAGGAGCCATTCCTGGAGCCTGGAACGTGGCAGGAGGAGCCGGACAAAACCAGTTCCAGCTGACCTTCAAGTCAAGTTTGCGATGCCTCTTGGCGGGCGAATATGTGGGTTTGAAGTGGGTTTGATCCTGGTGGAGAACATATAAATATTTAATAGCTCTCAACGTTGAAGATCAGTCAGTTCTACTCTGAGGGACTCAATAGCCTGATTTATTAAGATGTTGGGTTATTGAGTAGGAGACTCTAACCTAGACCTCAGCTCAGGCAGGTGAACTTAGCACCTGAGTTTCCTCATTTGTAAAATGATGACCATAGCAGCACATACTTCTGTGCTTGCTGAGAAGATTAACGAGGACGGTGGTCTGAGTCTGGCAGAGACCAGACGTCCAGCACGTTAGCTGTTGTCAGTTATTCCAAGAGTGAACAGTTGTCCTGAGCAGCTGGGGAGACACGGGCGCTGTGTGTATGTACGGTGCACGTGCGTGTAAACATGTAGACGCACGTGTTGATGCCTGTGCGGATGTGCCCATCGTGGACCGTTGTGCTCAGTCATCACGGCCACTCCCTCCTCTCAGCATCTCCCTGCTTTGTCAGAACCTGGTCGTGTGCTTGTAAACACCCTGGTTTTTTCTTGTTTTGTTTTACAGTCTAGCTTCTAGTTATGCCTTAAAGGGAGGATGGAAGAGCTCTTAGCTTGAGAGAAGTGTTGTCGACATAAATGTCATTCCCTAGTTTGCTGCCTTGTGTTCAGACGACATCACGCTGGCGGGCAGACGCCATGTCTGTACCCACAGCCATACGGCAGCTGCCCTTACTTTGCTGTACTAATACCTGAATTTCCTATTTGGGGTAATCCTAATGTCATAATATACATACGTTGGAGTGGATTAAATTCAGTTAATTTAGTTACTTGAGGAGGAATAAAAGTTTCCTTTTTTGTTTTTGTGTTTACAAGGTCATACATGAAGTTTATTTATTTTTTCTTTTCTATTATGGTTTATTACAGGATATTGACTATAGTTCCCTGTGCTGTACATTAGGACCTTGTTGTTTATCCATCCTATGTATACTAGTTTGCATCTGCTAATCCCAACCCATCTCTCTCCCACACACCTCCCCCAGAGAGTTTCGTTTTGATGTGTTTTTGGTCGTGGCCTCTTTTCTGCACGCACACTGGCTAAGCCCCTTCTGTGTTACAGGCTTGCGCTTGAACTCGGAGATCCCAGAGCAGTTTCTTTATCAGCACATGCCTCTGATGGGTGGGGTGGAAAGGATTACTGACTCCTTGGAAGTTAAAGGTCTGGATTGGGTAATAGTAGGGTATCGGATAGTTTGTTCCTGGGCACAGTATCTATTCTGTAGGCATCCCTTTCCTTTGCATTTGTTGTAAAAGGGTTTGAGCCCTGGCAGCCAGGAGCCCTCTTCATTAGTGGAGCTTCCCTAGCTGTGGGGATGAATCTTCCAGCCCTGGGGAATAAAGGCACCTGCTGCTGGCGCTTGCTGTATTAGGAAGATAATTCTGATCGTAAGAGAAGCTAATATTCCAAGCAAAACTCTACGAAAGAGGAGGAATTCATGTATATCATCGTTTTCAAGATGCTTTGCCATAGATTTAACACAACTGAACATTTAATCATCAAAATTCATCATTAGAAAGAACATTTTTTGAAAATAATATGCTTTTTTAAATATTGGTATCACTGCGCTATGGATGTTAGAGAAAAGAGTAGGGGGTTTCTTTAATGTGGGGAAATTTATTTTTCCAATTGTATTGTTCATTAAATGTTAGAAATTAAATAATGGTCTTTCTAAAACCAAGAAAAATTAACCCTCTCTTCCTCCATTCCCCTGGTTTTGGGACTTAAAAGACCAGACCGTCTTTTGCTGAAATATGAAATCTGGTGTTATGATTTGTTTGGATTCCTTGCCAAAATTTATAGACTATGATTAATAGTTTAGTTATTATTCTAAATGTTATTTTAAAATAGTTAAGCTGGAGAAATAATTCCATTAATCAAAATAAAGGGAAATGAGAAGAAAAATGGCAACCTAATTTGTCTCATTTTTAGCTATGGAGATTAGAATGCAAACGATGGAGAAATCCCATAGGCTGGTATATTTGAATCTTATGTATGATCTGTTTTCAGTGTCACTTTTAGATTCTCAGTATCACAGATCGCATTTCAAAATTCAGCTGGTTTGTCTCAGTAATTTTCTTACTCATGTAAACCAAATGTCTTGAAACACAGTATCCATTTTCCCACTCAGTATAACATAATGTGAAAAGTCGTGAATATAACTAGTGATTTATCCAAAATGGCCTGTAATAACGCGAGTCCCAGCTAACTCTTGGCTTGTCGGGAAAGGTCCTTGTCAGTAAGATGTTCCCTGTACATCGTTAAGCATTTAGCATCACCGCGCATGTCTAATGCAGGCCTTGGTCCACGGAGGCCGAGAGACTCACGTGTGTCCCAGAGGATACAGGCTTTTGTGTGTGTAGGTCACTTACTCCCACACATGAGCACATATGCATTCCTTTACCTTATAAGACAAAAGGGGAAGAAAAAGTAGGCCTCATCAAGTTCCATAAGTCACTGTTCATCCCTGGAACACTGAAACGCCTTAAAGAAAGATAATATTTATTTCTGAATAAATATTGTTCAGTTTTACTGAAGAGTCCACAATTCACACAGCTGCAATAAAGAAAAGCCAAATTTTCTGAAAGCGTGCTTCTCATTTTCTGATGACTCTTTCTTTGTGGGAGAATAAAAGCAACTTGTTTGCACTCAGATATCATGTGTCCACTTAATTTAAGTATTTCTGTGACTCCTTTCTTCCATGGCTGCATTTTCCCCTGGGCCTCATTTCTCAGATGAATTTCAGTCATTTCTTAAAAACCCTATATAGGACTGCTGTATTGAGGAATAAGGTGTTGGTCCCAACGAATTGGAAGTGAAAACAGCTCTCTTAAAAGTGAGATGCTGTTTGAACACATCCCCTCATTTATAAAGAGAAACTTGGCATCTGTGCCTCTAGATTTGTGGACTGAATTAAACAACCTGGTTATTCGGGTTAGCCAGATTTTGCAGTCCCTCTAAAATACATAGCTTTAAAACTTTCTGAGCCTGCAGAGTGTAAAACTTCAGTCCTTTACGGACAGAGGGCCATCTTCACGCTTCTCTAACCATCCTTTTTCCTTCTTCCAGTGCAAGTCTGTGTATTCTGGTCCAAAGGAAGGGAAATCCAAGGAGATGCCTGGATTGTGTATACAGAATCTAGGCACACACAACACACGTGTTCATACACATTCCTTGCCCATTTATGGACTCCCCAGCAAGTCTGTTTGCTACACACTTCCTCAGAACGTTCAAGGCCAGCCACCTAACAGCTAACAATAACTCCTGTTTTTCTGTCCGTAAACACAAAGGCCATTTTCCGTCCTCGAATGTATCTGGAACCACTTCCAAATGAGCCCTGTCGATGATGGATCTCCCCACGTCGTGATGTCGCTGTGCAAAAATGCAAAACATCCTTTTCAGTTTACTGCAGGAAATTCACCATCTACTTAAGGAAGTTTTATCACCTCTCTCATTCCGTTACCGTTTCCTACATTTCAAATAAACTACTGTCCGTACCACTGTGCCCACTCCCCCCCAGCCCCCCCTAAAATTTTGTTGAGTATCTTTCTGACTTGCGCTAGATGTCGACTGGTAGGTGTCATGAATGCAGAGCTAGTTTTATGTAGGAGTTTTCTGAAACTATTAACTAAAGAGAGGCACTTAATTCACTACGTCAACCAGGCCCCCCCAAAACACACTTATTTCTAGGGTTCCTGCAGGCATAGCTGGAAACCAGTTGGAATTTCACAGGAGCACTGCATTTTGTGTGTGCATGTTAATTTCAAGCTGTTGGTTTCACTTCATCGAGACTTTAGCTGAAGGTTAATGCAGTTAAGTAAGATTCATCTTGCCCTGTCCTGTCCTCAGATTGTAAACTCCATTGTTCAAACAGCGATGCCTTCACATGTCGTGCGAGAGGCTTCTCTGAACGCTTCGGCTTTCCTTCATTCTCATTTTCATCTTGCAGTTCCCTTGACTTTAGAATACACTTTCTATTTTAACAGTGTGGTAATTATTTACGGAAATGGGTGGAAGCTCCCTCAGGTGTTGACAGACCTATGGGAGTGCTGTGCTTCTGGTTCGTGTGGCCCCCAAATTCAGCCCTGTTCCGGCGCTGTCATTCACCTGTGAACCCCGCTTTGTATATCTCACGGTGCATTGTTGTTTGGAGCCCTCCGGTCCCATCTGGCCATCTTTGTAACCTTTCCTCCGGAGCTGGTTCAGGCACTATGATTTGCTGTTCTTGCACGCGGAACAGAGACGGTTAATGAACCGCTGTAGATCATTGGGGGTGATTTTCTCAAGCCGCCTTGGAAGGCAGGAAGGCACAGCGCAAACATCTCCTGCTCGTGTGCATTGAATTAAAGCTGAAGCCAGGGGTCTCTGCCGACCTGACTCAGTGGCTCTGTGAAGGGTGCTGTTTGTGCTTTGGGCGTTGCTAAGAAAATTAATAGGAAAAATGCACTTGGAAACCAAAGGCAGAAATGAGCTTTTCTCTTGTCTCTTTTTTTCCCCAGGGGAGAGACCATTCTAATGCAGATACTGTCCAAACAGTGCCTCTCAGAAAGGGAACCTAGAGACACGCTTTCACCATCCCCGGTGCCCCGGGACAGCGTCCGCAGTTCCCTTGTGGATGTCCCGACCCCGTGACCCTGACCGCCCCATGGAAGAACTCCCAACCGGACACCTCAGATCCTGCAGCCGCTGGGCGGAGCGGAAGCTGAAGGGAGGGCTTCTCCTTGTTACACGTTAAACATCAACAAAGATGCTCGACTTAGAATTACATGTAGATATTCTATATGCATATACGTGCTCACCGACCATAGTCCGTATTTTCTTATAATAAACGGTGGAGGTGGGAGCCACGGCAGGAGCGCAAAGCATCGATATTGTTCAAGACAGGTTTGAGACACTGGAAGAAAGATGCTCGTGTGTGTCGGACAGAGTGAAGCAGCCAAGCACTGAAACAGAAGCCGCCGCCGATGCTCAGAGGCCTGTCGGAGGTGACGTCAGAACAGACGGCAGAGGGGTCCAGGTTGACGGAGTTTTGACACTCTGGCCTCTCCTTGTCTTAGTGGGCATTTAAAATAGTGAATAAAAGAGGAAGGATGGGCGTTGAGGTGCTGTGGAAACAGGCTCGATGGGGGGCGGGCAGGTGACAAGGTCCTCCTTCCTCAGTGGTCCCCTCGCATCCCCTTGGGGGCCCTCTGCGTTTCCCAGGTGTGTCCCTCTCTCCCATCTGTGCTCAGTGAATCCGGCAGAGGAAACACATCCGTGGGAAGGCTTTTACTGTGCTTCGGAAAAGAGAGCTAGTTGAACACTAAGCAAAGCAGGCTTCTTTGTTTATTCTCAGGACCTTTTGGTAACAGGGCTACATTCTGCAAACTGCTTACAACGGAAGACTGCCTGTCTTAACAAATTATCTAGCCACTGAACCCCCCTCGATTTGGACCCTTTTAGTCATAGCGGGAGGATCCCCTTAGCCCATGGTGGGGCCCAGGTCGCCGGGGTCCTGGTGCTCTGGGGCCTCCTGCGCCCCCTTCCCTCCCTGCTTTCCTGTCCATCTGTCCCAGCAAGTAGGCGTCTTTTCTTCTTGGGCCGGGGGGCCTCCATGGGACGAGTCCCTTCATTCCCAGAGCGTGGAGGCCCCCCGGCCCGTGGGTCGGGCAGCTTTATATACCTCTTCCTCAGTCGCGCAGATGCCAGTTTTAGCGGTGGGGAGTTAAGGGCCGTAACAAAGGGTCTTAAACCTTGCAGTGTACGCAGTTAAAATTGTATTCCACAGATATAAATATTTTCTTTTCCTATTACCATGACACCATGTGTGATGGTAATGTTTCTGAGAGTTTCAGATTTTTGCACATAATGATTTTATGCATTATCAAAAGTTACTGCTGCCTTGAATGAAAATGTTCTGTGAAATTTTTTGCAAAAGCTTTACTAGGTTTTTTTTAATTGTGAAATTTTGTAAAGGCAGGAAATGGATTAAAACGAGCATATGCTAAATATATTTTTCAAAAAAGCAATAATTTTACATGTACAGAAATTATCCTAATCTTTAATACTGGTGAGAGCGACAGTTTACTTAATACAGTAATGGATTAGTGCAGTTTTTGTAGAAAATGGGCTTCTGATACAAAGACTTGTTTAAACACACACACACACACACACACACACACACACACCCCCTAAAGTGTGGTTTTCCTGTTCTAATGATTTGTTGAATTATATTATTATTATTATTGTTATTGTTGTTGTTGTTCTTAGTTAATGTTTGGTTCTGGATTCTACTTGTTACTGAACTTAAATTACTTGACCGTTCAGGTTACTTTGCAACATTTGCAAACAATGCAATGTAACTGGCTAGCTTATATCTATAAATATATATATACATGTATATACACAGGCATATAGCTGCATATATGTGTGTGTATATATATATAACTTTTTTACTTATTTTTTCCTGATATTCTTACACCGGATATGTACCAGAATGATCTGTCGTGTTGGTGTCATTAGGAATGTCCTTGCAGATACGATTCAGTGACTGTCCTCTAAAGTTATTTTGAGCAAAGTTTCAGAGATACATTCCTCTGTTCACCCTAGAAATCAACATGCCTCTCTGCTGACTTATGTTTGATCATTTCTGTAGTCTCCCCACAGTGATGATTTCTGCATTTTCTGGCTTTTATTTTCTTGGCTGACAGTGAAGGGTGACAGTTCAGGAACACACAGGGGCTCGTGATTCGGTCTGTTTCTCTGTGTTTTAGTTATTCAGAGGAATTCTGTACCCAGAGTGACACGATCGTGTACGTTCTTACCATTTCAGAGGCGGCCTTCAGAGCCGCAGGTGTCATTCCGGGAGACCCCTTTGCGGGGAGCGTGGTGGAGAGGGGCGCGTCCCAGGGTCCCGTTGGCCGGACACGCGGCCTGAGCCAGTTGGAATACTTGTTTCCGCCCGGAGCACAGAAATAAGGTTTTCCCTTAATTCAGCAGACGGGGGTCCGGGGTGGGGGGCGGCGTCCAAGAACACCACCCTCCAAGGCAAGCCGTCTGGGGGGCCGACTGTGCTTCCTTTCTTCCACTGAGCATCAGTATTGTATTGGTTTGTTCATGTGTTTATGTCAGTTTGAGCATAGTATTTAATACGATTTGTGTTTTTCTTATTTATTTAGCCAATGTGTTTTGATTCACTTTTTTTCGACGGATAATTTCCGCATGGTCTCTCTTGTAAGTCACCCTCTGACTGTTACAGACTTTCTACTACCTCTTACCAATCTGCTGTTTCCTTGTTTCTTAACAGGATTTGACAGTGTTGGCGTCAATGTAACTTAGACAATAAAGGGTTTGGTTGTCTACACTGCAGCTTCTCCGTGTGTCTCCCCGCCCCCGCCTGCACACTCCTGCTGCTGGTCTCACTCCTCCCCCTCCCCTGCTCGCCCTGTTCCTCGTTGTTGTAACACAAATAATGAGCTTAGAGACTCTCTCAGGCTATTCACTCATATTCCTTAATTTGAAGAATGAACATTTAAATTCTCTGAAAAATCAGCTGTTCAAGCATCTTCTCCGGGCATTCGTCAGCCGTTCTGTCACTTTTCTCCCCCGGTTCCTGGAAGGCCTTGGGGCCATCTCAGATGGATGCGTTTCACCTCGGTTATGGCACAGTACAGATTTTCAAGCCAAGTGGATTTTGCCTTTTTGGTTTTGAAAAGTATTCAGTGCTTTAAGAGATGCTTCGCGATATTTACTTATTTATTTTGTAAACCAAGAAAGACACTAGTTTCTTGGAAAGAAGGTGCTCCAGGAAATGGCCCCGGGGATGACATATGCCACTTTGGCAAGCCTACGGAGCATTTGTTTTGCCCAGGAAGTCGAGAACCATCTTCAGATCTGGCCGCTGTGTCACAGGTTGTACAGTGTCAGGCAAACAGTACACGGAGGCATGTGCACACGCAGGGTCATCATTCGGCAGGCTTCTGGGAGGTGGCCTTGGACCCAACAGGTCGCAGGTGACACCTCCCTGCTGTTTCCCAGGCACCTGGCTCAGGTAGCTGCACCTTCTTTCCAGCAGGAGATAGAGTGTAGCCCACAGGGTCACAGAAGGTGACTGGCAGTTCTCAGTCTGTGCCTGGAACGCAACGCACCTCCTGGGTTTTCACGGCCAGATTCTCTTTACCGACGTGCCATCTTGAAAACAGGCAAATCACCCCCTGGGGGGGTGGTGTGATCGATGCACAAAAAAACGAATGCGTTTGTACAACTTTACTTTTCCACTTTCAGATGTCTCCGTGTTGGAAGTAGCCTGTGCTGTTTCACTGCTTTTAACTCGGGTGTGTTCTAATCGCAGGACATTTTATACACTGAGCAAAAAGAAAGAGAATAAAAAAATCACAGGCCAGGACTTCAAGAGATGGTTTAGGTGCCCCGTAGCGTGTCTGTGTGGAGGGACCGAGGGGAAAATGTTCATTCTTCAGCTTTGCTAATTATGCTTTGAGGCAGTAAAATGCAAAAGACCATAGAGTTTGTATTTCTTTTTTAAAATACAATTTATAACATTATATTTTGTACTCTTTATATTAGAATTTGTAACTAGATTGTTGTATTTAACTCTATTTCTGAAAAAATAATTCAATGTTTCAGTTGTGTGATAAAAAAATATTTAGAGAAAACATATTCATTCTATTGGAAACAAATCAATAAAAACATCTTGGAGTTCTTGGGATTTGTAAGACCTTTTTCCCCTATTTCAGGAGGTGGCTTAAATCCTGTGACAGCCCGTCTGGATCTGTGGTTTGAAAATTTTCATTGGCTGAACACAAACCCAAGCATTAGTGCGCTGTATTTATATGAGCAGAAGAGTTTTTGGATGATTTACAGGATAGTTCATCTAAAAAGATGCCACGATGGCCACAGTATTTTTTTCAAGGCTTTTGTGGACTCCAGGACACGCACACTTTTTTTCTTTCTTAAAGGTGACTCTGCATTTCTCATTTTCCCCGGGCACCTCTCATTTCCTGACGCCAAATACACACACTGTTCTAAGACTTGCAGTAGATTTACTGCTTGGATGGCAGAAACGGGACTTGGGGGCCTCAGATGCACTAACAGAATTTTAATGTAAAAAGATAACACGTGTTTCGAAGTTAAAAGATCTGTGTCCCAACTGGCAGGAAAAGGAAGGGATGGGGTGAGGACCTGAATGTGGCTTTCACATTGTGTCGGTGTAAAAAATAGAGCATCCAGCCCTGGGTCACGGGTGGCCCCTTCACGTCCCTCCATTCTTGGATGAAAACGCCGATTTGAGGAGTTTGTGGAAGGCTTGTGAGTTTTGTAAACTGCAGAACCAACCTGGCACGGGGGTGGTTTATGACTCAGTTTATCTAGAACCTCTCTCTTCCCGGGCGGTGGGTTCTGAGCAGAAGGGTGCTGATTCTAAATGAGGAAGGGGCAGCGCCAGCCTGGTAGCACTCTTGGTGTGCGACACAGCCAAAATAGGCCCAGATCTCTGGGTGTGTCACCAGGTGTGGGGAATTCCCTCCAGGGAAGACAGGTGTGGGACGTTCGTGGAGTCAAACCC